ACAAGTGCAATCTGGTGCACAGCTACGCAATCTATTTGCGACCCTTCTACTATTTTGCCAGCTAACAAGACCTGAAGAACTTTAGGAGAAGCACTTTATTGCTCTTAGTGATAATATCCGATTTTTAAATTATAATGATATTAATGTATGTGACAAAGCTCTTAACCACTTGCAATCAATTTTAAGCAGACATGGGAAATGCCTTAAAGACTTTCCAAACATGCCTGACATAACTACCTTTCCTTATTATGAGCAAGAAAACTGCTTAATTAGAGAAGAACAGTAGTATGATATCGAAGAACTTACCCATATATTAGAAAATGGATTCCCCCAACTAAATGTTGATCAGCGAGCTATATTCTAAAAAGTTATAGAAGCTATCGAATCCCAAACTTCTGCTATATTTTTTGTCGATGGCCCAAATGGAACAGGAAAAACTTTCTTATACAAGTAAAGAACATAATTTTTCAGTTAATTAATACTCTTAAATCGTTGAACTTTTTTTAGTTAATTGTTAATTAATAATCTTAAATCGTTATAATTTTTTAGTTAATTAATTAATTAATTAATAATTAATAATCTTACTTTAATTGTTATTAAGCTTAAATTGTTATTTACAGTATTTTATTCTTCGTTATTTCATTTTATTTATTTTATTTATTTATTTTTTTCTGTAATCAATAAAATAAATATATATATTTCTATATATTTATTATTATTAATCTTTAATCATTATTAATCGTTATGTAGTATCTTACTTGCAAAAGTTCGTCTAAATGGAGATATTGCTCTTGCTGTGGCTTCCTCAGGTATTGCCTCTCTTCTTTTACCTGGAGGTCATACAGCACATTCCCGATTCAAGATTCCTATTAATATACATGAAGATTCTACATGTTCCATATCTCACGATTCGGACCTAGCTTTACTTCTGCAACTTACACATCTTATTGTTTGGGATGAAGCTCTATTAACGCATCGACATGCATTTGAAGCTGTAGATCGAATCTTGAGAGATCTTATGAAATCTATAGATCCAACTCTGGAAGAAAAACCATTTGGTGATAAAGTTACAGTGTTTGGTGGAGACTTTCA